CAACACAAAACCTTGTTAGCGTGCTTCTGCTAGATAAGAAATTACCTCCCTCTCCAGCATTTACATGACAATACAAATTCACAGATTATGATATAGGGGCAATAGCAGGTGCACATGCAAACTGTAGTGCACTCTCACCATCGTGCATAACTCAAAAACAATAGTTTTAAACCCCTTAAAATTATGTTTTCTATTCCCTCGTAACATGTTATATTTTTAAAGCCATAATCTACACAATGACATTTTTGGACATTCAATTACATTTTTGGAGGGAACCCAACTAAATAGCATAGTTTGTCATAAACATTCAAAGTTGTTTTCCAGCATGAAGCTATTTTCAGATTTAAAACATTGATTTACTAAGGGCAGAATGTTCGTATGGGTCCTCCAAGCATTTATTAATGTGTAAACTAGGGAAAGGAGCTAGGGTAAGTAAACCAGGAGGAGGGAAATGAGAAGAATTTTCTGTATGAGAATCAATAAACATGAAGGGTCAATATTCAGTTTCTTTCTGAGAAATGTTATGATGGAAAAAGTGAGAGAAGTGTTAAAAGGCAAACAACTCTGACCAATGTACAAAGTCTTGTACTTAATGCACAAACAAGAAAGAAATTCGCTAGCCAAAGCAAATATATAGGAAGCAAGAGAAACAAAACTTTTTAGAACACTGTAAATACACTGCAATTTAAGAAAACTTTTAAAAGAAAAGTATCTTGTGCCCAAGAAGCAATAAGATCAACAGTTGGTATTTTAAAACAGTAAAAAAGGGATGACTGACAGGGATACAAAATACAAGTCAAATGGCAACTTGTTGCGCTTCAACTACATATACTTTCTCATATTATTCATAAAGGTTATATAATATAAAATTGCATCTTCTATCCTATTAACACGTCAGCCATCAATTGAAAAATTCCTAACCACACAAAGTCTGAGATTTTAACAAAAATACAGATCTTTAATTTTTTGAAAATTCAGAAGTTTAAAAGAAAACGTCTTTCTGTCATTGAACATAGTACATTGTGCTCTAATCTTACAAAAAGTATTTAAAAAAATATATTCCCAGGAATTATGCAAGACAAGTCAAGAGATTTTAATTGACACTTTCTACCTGTGTGTCAGAACCATTTTGTGTTCAATGCTAGAAGTAAAATTAATTCACATTGCATTGATTTTAAAACAAAACTGAAAATGCAAAAAATTCTAAAATGTTACAAAGTGTAAATTAAAAAATATAAAGGTCTAATAATCAGGAATATATTGCAATAAGAAAAAATCTTTAACTTTAATATTTAAGGTGTAAGATGGGTATGAAACAAAATTGCACTTTTGCAATTTTTGAAATTACTAAGGTTTGAATAATAAAAGGAGTTGTTTTCAAGAAAATCTTGTTTATAAGTTGTTTGTTTTTTTTGTCACAATTTTGCTCAAAATGACACAAAAGTGGTTCATACTTTCAAAACTATTGAACATGATTTTATTTAAAGTTCGAATTTTGATAAAATGATTTCAATAAGTTAAAAGTCTTCAATAATCTAGATGTAGGAGGGTGTTGAAAAAGTTGTTAATGTTTGCAATTTCTGAAAATTCAGAAATGATTCTGAAAATTACTGAAAATGGGACAAAACCAGTTTAATAAGCAAACATTGCTCTACTGAAGCAAAATCTTTAAATAAAAGCTTAAGAAAAATGTTTGAGAATGTGTGTTTTATGTAAATCACCTCCAAGAATTTAAAGATCCAACTCAAGTTTGAGGAACTTAGGCATCCCTAAATCAATTGGAGAATGTTAGTTTTAGTGAATATCCTGTGTATGATTTACGTGTTAATGTTGTTCATAGACAGGTGGATGGACAGATGTTTTAAGAAAAAATACTTTTTTGGTAACAATGACCCCCAGAACTTGGATTCTGACTATTCTACATATATGAGAATGTAATTTACCAAGTAGAGGTCAAGAAAAAAACACTTAGGTGATGTCACAAAAACTGTTTTTCTGTCAAAAAATTAGCACTTTTCCTTGCAGCATTACATAAGTCCTCTTACAAGGTATTAGATAGGAGAAAGTACGCATGCATGTGCATACGCGCCCACGCGCTCGCTCGCGCACGCCCACCCCAACGCGCACTCGCACTCCCACACACACATTGAAAACACAGCCAGGTGCAGAACATGAGAAAGTGTGAAAAACAAATTTCCTCATGGAATAGCAATATCAACATATACATCATACATCTGATATTGCAAATTTCTCTTTTGACCTAAATGCCCTCCTTCATCTTTAATAAGACCACAACACTGCTGACACATATCCTTCAATTTTACACTTTCCTCACACATCATCACTTTCTCAGGTTTTTCTCCTACATAAGCATATGATGAAATCATACAAAATTCACTAAAATAATTGTAATTTTCTTAATCAAAACATGTTCAAACTGATTTTTATGTCCAATAATCCCATTTTAATCAGTGCCTCCCAAAAAATTAATCAACTTAATCGTAGCACAAGGAGTCTCTTGTTTCAAACCCCAATAAATTCTACTTCTGGTGAATTACTTTATAGATATGAGCAAATATTTATACAGGACTAGAAAGAGCATTGACACATGTGAAGATCATGGGACTGAGAAGAGAGAGTTATAAAAAAAAGGTAAACATGTAAAAACATAAAAGACTGCGGACAACTTAGAAAAAGATGATGTGGAAGAAGTATAAGAAATAGAAATGAGGAGGCAGTCAAAGGCGTCAGACAATCAAAGAAGCTGAGGAACACCAAGGAGGAGGAGGATGAGGTGCCCAAGGATAGCAGAAATAAAAGAAATTGGTGAATTTCTTTACTTCCTTAAAAATATTTAAGGAAAAATAAATGTATGCAGCGTGAGGTTACATCCCAAGTCTCCCCACAATTCACTCTCATCTCCAAACCTGTTTTCTCCATAAGTGCAAACATCCAACTTTTGAACAGGCGCCTGAGGAGTGTACAGAAGAGGAAGCAATCTGTCTTAATAAATGTTTTCCTATGTAGTAAAATAACTGTAGATGTAACATAAAAACATCAGGACTTCATGAAATTAAAACTTATGATTGTGACTTCTTGTTTGATCCGACCCCTACATTTGCAGAAAAGTTAGGAACTTCAAAAGACCATTAGAGACATTTACAAAATTGCAATAATACAGTGATTGATATAATAGATTTGATATATTTGTTAAGGTACAAAGGAATTTCTTCATAACAATTATATATATCTTTTTCCATTAGTAAACTTAAGAACTTACGTCCAAACTCAATATATTCAAACTACAAAAATATTTAACATTCAAGAGAACACAGTATCGTTCATACTTCAATATATTACCATTCATGGCCTTATAATACTGAGCAAACTCCAAATCCAATGTGTGGCAAGATTGTTCATTTGCCAATGCCATATCCTAGAAAGTGGATTATTTGCCATGCAAGTTGTCCTTTGCCTCCTTAAGAATGTTGTTTTCAATTTTGTAAATTTGCTATGCCTCTAGTGCTAGCCAAGAAAGGCTAGACCCGTGAAGTCACTCAATCTAAATTAATTTTCTTTATTCTAAAATAGAATTACAATAGAACCTCGATTTAACATGACCACGATTTAATATTTTCCTACATTTAATGATTTTTCTGTAAGTCCTGACAATGCCTGTATGTAATTAATATAATTACATTTTTGATTTTAAAATTATTAGCTTTGATGCACAACCTGCATTTAACATTAAACATTTTTGGAATTTTATTTTAATTTATTGTTTGTCCTCCATAAATTGGGAACTGATGCCAAATACATCATCCAATGCATCTGTCATGCAGTGTGGCTAATTGTAGTGAACGGAAACCATTGACGGCTGCAATGACATCTATATTAAGGTGGTGTTATACTCAGTTTGCTGCTCTGAATCAGGTTGTGATATGGCAGGATGTGCCTCATCTATATAAATTTCACTCATAATTAGAATTTGTATACTAATATTGTAATTTAATTATGTATGATAATAATCAAGCATTAAAAAAATGATAATGCCTGGTTAATTTTAACCTTAAAAAATACCCCAATCACCCATTTAGTGTAAACCCCCAATTAATGTTGCCCCATTGAGGTGATGTAAAATGGGGGTTCTACTGTTTTTCCAAACTTCGTTATAAAAAGTATGTATTTTTCAAGGTATAAGATGTTTTATTCAAAATCACACACATTTACTAATAATATACAAAGTATATTATTAGTCTAGTAAACAAAGTATAGTATTAGTTTATCTTTGAAAAAGTTATGAACACAAAAATAAGTTCCAATTTTCGTAAGTATATTATTCTGAAAGCAATGATAATTTTACAAATTGATTGAAGGAAAGACCATTGGGTACCAAGTCATTATATTGCAGGAAAACAATGCTTAGATGTTAAATTGCATTTATTGTACACTTTAGGCCAAAGGTGGCTTCTGGGCAGCGAACTAGGTTCCAAAGGAGCAATCCTGGATTTGATTCTCAGTCAGGACAAAAATCGAGTTACAGCTTTCCTTTAAAATCGTCTCAGTTTCTGTAGCTGTGTGATGAAGAAAAGCTCATGAAACATGCTAGTTACTGAAAAGGGAATACGCTATGTTCGCTCCAAGAGTGAAAATTAAACTAGGTCCAGGCATGGAGGACACTGTTAGCTAGAATTGACCTCAAATGCCAAATTCATGCACACATAATTTAACATAAGAAGCATAATTTTCCTACTGTCATCTAATGATTTGGTTCCCAATGGTTCTTACTATAACTGTTATGTAAAATTAATCCTGGGGCTTTCAGCAATAGTAATGATAATTAACAATTATCCATAAAATTGTCAGATAACCATGATGAAAAGATAAAACTCTTCACCATTATTAAAAGACTGAAAACGTGCTAATATTTCCAAAAAAACCATTAGTAGTCACACAATCCATAATTTTTTTTTAACATATTGGTCGTCAATTTTACCTACCCATAAATCAATCTTTGTAAATGATGAGTAGTCACTCAGACCAATCTTTTCTCTGCAAGCAGAATACTCCTCAGCTACATAGTCAAACCAATCAGGTTTGCCAAAAGTATTGGTATGAGCAATTCGAAATGGTAAACTTTTATTTTCTGTGGGTCTTTGAGCCTCTGGAAATGAACGTAAATACACATTTGTTTCTCAAAAGATAAAGAATGAAATGTAGCCCTATATAATTCATGCTTTATAACAAAACAATTTAATTAATTAATTCTTTAAAAATCATGCATTCTATTATTTCTTTAGTTTTGCATAACATTGAAAACCATTAGTTGTGTATATCAATGCACAGTGCTTCAAATACAAAAGATAGCATTTAAAATTCTGAAAATGACCTTGATTAATACTTTTATAATTCTCTAAGCAATAAATTATTATTATTATTATTATTATTATTATTATTATTATTATTATTATTATTATTATTATTATTATTATTAAATTATTTTATGAATCACACTGCTTTCCTAAGAAACTTTTTATTTTAAAAATTTGTATACTTCCACAGATTTAGTGACACATGCCCCTCTACTCAGATAGAATACTGAAATTGAGAAATGAATCAGCAATCTGTCCTAATGCAGGCGTGGATCCATGGGGAGGGAAATTTCCTCCTCTAAAACTTTTCTGTAGCTTTTAATTTTAACTTGTCATGAAACTTTCAAGCAAAACTATTTTTGAATAATCATTAAAACAAATGAAATTGTATTGCAACATAAGCCGAGCATAGCATGTGGCATTTTACAAAATCTGTAATGACATATTCAGCCAAAACATTTTAATTTCCCCTCCCAAAATTTGTCTCTGTATCCACTTGGCTGATGAGAAATTAATTT